CGATAATAGAACTATGTCACTGTTTCATCTCAAACAAGTAGAAAGAAGGAGAACATTTCTGACATGCTATACTCCCACCATTCTAAGCAAGTAACCAAATCAAACTATTCCTATCCTTCACATGCTTTTAAAGTGAATGCCTCAAAATATATGAAAATAAAGAGAGCTAGCATGCTGAAATATCCAACAGAACTATACTCAAGGCTCGGCAAAGAGAAAACCGAAGAGCAACGAGGCACCACAGAAGGGGGGGAAGAAGAGTACCTCAAGAATGCCAAAGTAAAGCCTTGCGACACAAGAAGCTACCTCAAAGATGTGCTCTCACAAGAATCTCCTTTCCAATCTCCTCTAGCTAAATTTTCAACAACCCCAACAAAAAAAAACCAGGAACTCTCCTTATAGGCAGGGAATAGAGAAGAAGAGGAAAGAAAGCCACCCCAATGTCTACGGCACTCGAATCGGGCCAAAAAAAAAAAAGAAATGCTCTCTGCCGACAGAAGGCGAAGCCAACGACATCTCTCGGACCGAGCGGCGAGAGTAGTGGCAGCGAGGGAAACATCGGGAAGAGGATGAGAAATGTCATTCCAGTGTACCAGGGAACAAGCTTCCCAGAGTCAAACTACCCAGAAAAGAAAATCCGCGGCTCAAGGAGAGTGGCGCGGCTTCGGGAAGGAATCGGACCGAGCGGCGAGAGTAGTGGCAGCGAGGGAAACATCGGGAAGAGGATGAGAAATGTCATTCCAGTGTACCAGGGAACAAGCTTCCCAGAGTCAAACTACCCAGAAAAGAAAATCCGCGGCTCAAGGAGAGTGGCGCGGCTTCGGGAAGGAAGGACGAGGTCAACTCTTCCCTCGCGTGGAGGAAGAAGAGCTCGCACGGCTCAAGACCGAGAAAGGGAAAGGGTCAGACACGCGAACGGGAGAGTCGCGGGAGACAGAGCTCGAGTGCAGGGGAGTGTTAGGGATTAAAGAGGAAAGGGGAAACGGGTTAAAAAGGTTAATTAATATATATATAAATATATATATATAAATATATATATATATATATATTAATTAAAACACAATTTACTCGCGCGCGGCGACGCGACAAAATGGGTGTCCTCCCCGGGCAAAATCGACGTTCCGGACGCGTTGGCGCAGTCCGTTTCGTCATCCGGGGTTGCTCGGACGACGTCATCGACAATCGGTTCAAAAACGCGTCGAAATTCAAATTTTACAAAATTTCGACCCGCGATCGATCGTCCCAAAAGGTTTAATTGAGCATTCAATGGGCAACAATGCAGGCAATGCGAATTGCGGCGATCGGATATATCGACTCTCCGAATTGCGAAGCTTGTGCGCGGGAGTGCGAATTGTGCAAAAGGTCACCTTAAGGCTCAGGAAGGTCCTATAGGGAATCCCTTATGGGTTTCCTCATGTTGGTTTCGTCCTTCTAAGTGCTAGAAGTTGATACCACACACGCGAAACTCCAGAAGGGGACGGAAGCGGGTCGAACTAAAACGAGGCAAGTCCCACTTCTAAGGTTCTAAGATAGTCGAAGGGAGATTCCTAAGGCTAGATCCTAAACCCTAAGCGGAAGACTAGACCTCACGAAAATTGAGGTCAACATCTTAGAAAGAACTCACACAAGTTTTCTCTTTACACACAAAAAAAAACTGACAGGACTCTCCACAATCTTCCCTCTCTGATCTGACGCAAAAAATCACGACGAATTAACGAAATCCACTTCTTCGACACACCTCACCTTCATTGGGATGCTCTTCAAAGAATATCGAAGGAAGAAATAGCAAATCATCAATTTTTGTCACTCAAATTTGGCACTAAAACCAGAACTTTTGAGACCACCGCTCCTGGCGCATAGGCGCCCGAACATGACACCTATGTGTCAAGCTCTTGGGATACATGCGCTTATATGAGTGCATATGCGCCCAAAGCCGGCGCATAGGCTCCAGCTTCTCTGTTCAAGCAGCACCCAAATGTGCGCTTAGGCACCCACAACCCGGCGCACAGGCACCGAGTGTTCTGTCTCGCTACTCACCAAATCAGTCTCCACTCATAACAACAATCTAGTTAAAAAATAATATTCTTAGGCAAGCAAACAATTGGGTTAAACATTAAACCTTTACGAAAGACAAAGATTCCATGAATGTAATTTCTTAGCCTAGGAATATGGAAAGTGATATTGATGTATGCTTAATATACTTCTAAATGCCCTTAAAACTAGTTGGGAAATTATCTTAGTATGTTAGTAGACACTGACCATGGTTTAAATTTACTAACTAGAGGCGCGCCTTATCAAAATTTAACTAAAAAAAAAAACCTCTATGCAGGATAAGGCATGCCTTGACAAAATTTTGAAGAGATGCAAGAGCTAAAAAGTAGTTTTTAGAAGATTTAAAAATTTTAGTATATAAACTTTATATCAAAAAATAAAAAACTAAACCTATTTATGATACCTAGACCAAAGCGAACTTAAAAATTCATGAGAGCTCCAACTGTTAAATTTGTTATGGGTAGTTTGTGAAGAATTTTAAAATCAAGGGAATCTTTAGAGGCTGTGTTTAGCTCCACACAATGGTTAAATTGTGCTTAGAAAACCAAATTGAAATAAGAAAAAAAAATTGGAGAATGATGATGATCATTAGTTGGTAATAATGTGCTATCGCATGGCAACAAATTTGTAGACATCAAAAATAAAGTTATAGCATCGTCATAATTATAAAAGTAAGATTTCAATGATATCATTTTCAATGGTGGAAGGAAAAACATCAACACAAGTCAATAAAATATAATAATAAATATTAACATAAAATTTTAGGTAATAGAAATTAGAATCATCAATAAAACCATTATTTTGAAATTTAATTAATGTTTATATTAGAAAAGAGAAAGAAGGTTAGGAGCATATTGACACCACTAAGGATAAGGAATGGGAGAAATCAATTAACTTCAATGATATTTCTAATAAAGGCCCTCTAAGTGATGAGAGTGGGGGAAACTTTTCAATTCATAAATCGTGACCTTAGACTACTTATTATGTTGAATTGAGACTAGGACATGTTTTCTTTTATTCTGTTGATGCTCGTAGTCGTGTATGACTTTTATAATCCTTGATATCTAACTTTGATCTTAGTAGTTATGAATTTTTTTATTTTTTTTTTCCATTTCTTTAATAGTTTTACTCTGAGGCATGTGCCTCAAATTAAACATCTTGAGACTCGCGCATATCTTCATGAAAGGAAAACACCTCAATATCAAATCATATAATTTCAAACGTTGACACTAATAAAAAGCTGGTCAATATAAATGTCAACTAATTTGTTGAATTGCCTCATTGATTGCAATTAATCAACATAAATCTTTTAATTGCTTTCAAAAAAATCTTACTCGGTGATTTACAGCTATTCTATTCACCTTGATTACCTCAATTCATTCTCTACAACCTGCAGTTGTTTTAAACTCCTCTTCTTGTTCGATACTGTTAGGAACTTTGTTTATGAATTCATTGCTCTGATTTTGTGATCTATTTATTTGTGTTTTCCTTCGCATTACATGAATAGAACGAAAAAATGCGCATACAGAACCACATTAAATCGATCCCCTTTTTCATGAAGAAAGGAAGGAAACTAACTCTTCAAGGGCTGTCTGGTAATGGATGAGATTTAAGTTATTAGGATTTAGTAAATCCTAAAAATTTCGATTTAGGAAATCCTAAAGGGGTTAAATCCTAAACAGTGTCTGGCAAAGCACTTACAAAATCCTGTGATACTGTTTGGCAAATTCTACCAGGATTTACAGTGGTTGGAGTGAAAAAAAAAAGACCTCGAACTTAAATCCTCACCAGGCGAACTTAATCCACTGATTCGCAGGATTTAGTAAATTCCAGAATCGAAATCGGTAAAATCTGGATTTAACAAAATCAGCGGCTTTATTTTATCCAAAATGATCGTCTGACAAGATTTACCTTACAACCCGTTTAAATCCTGCCCTAAATCCGTCACCAGACAGCCCCTAAAGGATTGACATCCGTATCTATTTTACCCATTCCAGACAAACGCTTCGCTTTTTTGCAGCACTTGAAATCGCAATTTAAGCTAAACGCCAGGGAAAATAAAAAACACATGAAAAACTAGAACTAACCTGAACGGATTCCGGAGGAAATACATGCGAAAACCCATCATAAACCTCGCTTTTAGCGCGTTTGGACTCCAGGGCTGAAGCTGGGGCAGTTAGCGTGACTGAGCTTGAGCTATTCACAAACAAACACGACATGTTCTTCCTCTTTTCATCCTTGGCAGCTCTAACCCTCCCGATAGCTCTAGCCTCGCCGCCGGTGACCTTCGAGGCCTGCGAGGCCCTGCATTCGAGGGGTCGTATACGGAGGAATACCTTGAGGTTGCTGGAAGTCCCAACGTTAGAGTTTTTAGGCCTCTGATTAGAAAGGGGGCGGATCTTGGGTGGATGGGGTTCGAGGATGTCATCGAAGGGGAAGGGAGTGATCCCGATATTGGCATTGGAAGGCTTAGAAGAACTTAGTGCATGGGTTGATGAGGTTTGCTTCGCCTTTCTCGGAGGGTTGCGGCGAACGGTGGTGACAGGACAAGGAGATTGCAGATCCATGAAACCCTAGTTCTTGCTTGCTGAAGGCATTACTCTGCTATTTTGAAAGAGGGCGGGGGAGCGGGAAGTGCGTTTTGCTTTCTCATGGGCGTTGGATTTGAACAGAATAAAGTTCTGAGCTACAAGCGTTTTTTTTTTTTTTTTTTTTTGTTAATTCTTCCTTTTATTTATTTATTTATTTGTAAGGCTTCTATGAGAAGAGTACGGGCCTCCTTCACATTGTAGTGCACGTCGATGCAAAATAAAGTTTTTTTGTGTCGATGCAAAATAAAGTTTTTTTGTGTCGATGCAAAATAAAGTTTTTTTGTGTCGAGTGTTTCCAAAACTTCTTCTGAATTTCTTTTGCAAGAACATCGATTTTCACTGCTTTAGATTACAAGTCTCCTTCTCGCGCCCGCCACATAACTTTTAAAGAAAGCTCCTTCGAATGGAGTCTACGTTAGGGATCAATGCGCTCCATCGCATGTTAGCACCAACCGATCTCTTTAAGCAAACTTAATTACATTAGAATGAAACAATCTTTGAATTCGTAGCTCACGGATTGGAAATAAAACAAAGAATTAAAAAATACTAAAATAATGGTCATAAGATCAAACATATATACATAGACATTTCTAATTAAGGAGTCATGAGTATCTAACATGTGTCAGACAATAAAATTTTTTTTTTAAAGTACAATATCATTAAAAATTAACATAAAATTTATATAAAAAATAACACATTTTAAGGCGTGTTAGTCGTTACAAAAGAGAAGGAAAGAGAGTTCTCTCTACAGAATATGAGTATAGAGAGAAGAGCTAAAAGACAAAATTAATACATGTAAGACCCCCCTATTTATAGGAGATGGAGAAACAAAATGTAAAATTACATACTTGCCCCTACTTTAATAGGGGTTTTATAGCTTATGTGGCACCTTTTCGTATTCATAACCTCTTTATTATGTTATTTTTTTTTCATGTATGGATCTTCTGCTCTGCAGGTCATTGGGTTAGTCGAATGAGCTGGTGTCGGTCGGTTATTTTGTCTCAACACTGGTCGACCTCTCTTTTGAAGATAGTAGTTGGTCGGCCTTAGGGTGGCCGGTCGACTTGCCTGATTATTGTTCCTTGATGTTCTCTGATGATATTTGGGGGAGCTACTGAGAGAGCTTCATGTTGAGACTTGTTGAGATTGTTGGGGGTGTTAAACCTTTGACTGATTGTTGGCGTGGATGCCTGACTTTGGTCAGCTTGGGTGGCCCTTTTGTCATTTGACCTTTGGTTGGTTGATAGCTCTTCGGTCAGCTAGCCATCAATTGGTTGTTGGTCTTCAGTTGGTCGCTTCATGAGGACTTGTTTCTTTTCATAATGGGATCTTCATAATTTATCTTTTGATTTAGACCATTATATTGTCTCAAGATTCGTGTATATCATTTTTGGGTGCATAATATGAAACTGAGTTTGTAGCTTTTGGATGGTGGATTGGATAAGGGTTGAATTGTTCCTGGTTAGTAGATTTTCGTCTTTATATATGAGCATGTAGAGATGATTTTTATTATTGTGTAAACAGAAGAGAGTGGGGTGGGCTGGGTTGGGCTGAAAATCGATTATTTAGAGGTAGTTGCATAGCGTAGCAAACCATTAGTGAGGCTTGTTTTAGTCCATACAAGACTTTCCTTATAAGACATACATGATGGGGATCAATGGCATCAACAAATCCTTGGGGTTGTGACATATGAATAGGTATAATGAGATGGCCATGTAGGAAAGCATTGGACACGTCAAATTGAAGAATGGGCTAGTGATGAGTGAGAGTGATTGTGATAAGGACTCGAATAATATGAAGTTTGGCAACTGGGTTGAACATTTCAATGTAGTCAAGGCCATGTTATTTATTGAAGCCTTGGGTAACTAAATGGGTTTTGTGGTGAGCTATAGACCCGTTGACACAAATCCAGAAGAAAAACACAGAGATTTAACAAGGTTCGGCAAAGATGTCTACATCATCGGGAGCAGAGCGGCGAATTTCACTATTTCAGAGGAGTTACATACTCATAGGGTTACACATCTATTTATAGATAAAATCCACAGATAATTACAAACACACCCTCGCTCCCCCCAACCCACTAATCCAAGAGACACACCTCTTCACACTAAAAGACACACCTCTTCATTCCAGGAGACACACATCTCCAAATCCAAGAGACTCCAAATTTATGATATATGAGTCATACCTAACAATTTTCTACCTTGGCGAATATCCAGCCAATTAGGAAAAATACATCATGGAGTTTCTTACACCGAAGTGGGTTGGGCAACCATGCCAACTAGCAACTGCAAACATTCAACAAGTTCAAGTGACGCAAGAACTTGTTGAAAATACTTGGCTTGGTCAACTTTCCTGCTGCATTTTCATCATATGATCCGACAGAGTGAACTTCAACTACAACTGTACTTCCCAACAGTTTATAGATATTATCATCATGTTTCATAACTCGCAATGTCTTTAAAATTCCTTATTATGCCAACAAATTTTTCACCATTATTTGTCACAATCCGAAGTTCCATATTTCATCGAACTTCATTATCTCGAATTTTGCACCATACATTGTCATTTAAAATTAATCCTGCAGTGAACTTTTTTTGTCTTGTATTGAAACAAAACACACCACAAATAAATTCAAATAAACCTGAAATTTTCTCTGTCAATTGCAATAATTTTCCTGCAGTTTTCTGTGATTCGTGAATAAATTTTTTCATACGAAACACATTTCCTGTTCGTACAAAAATTTGACTGAAATACTGCGGACACCAGCCAAACTCCACCTGTCACAATTTCTCCTGCGACAAACCTGCGAACAATCCACAAAATTCGCGAACTCTACCTGTCACAATTCCTCATGTGACAAACTTGCAAACTCCGCTGGTCGAGCACCACCTGTCGCAACTACACCTGCCACAACTCTACATGCGAGAAACTTGGGAACTTCGCTGGCCGAGCACTAATTGTCGCAACTCTACCTGCGACAAACTTGCGAACTCCGCTGGCCGAGCACCACCAGTCGCAACTGCACCTGCTGCTCCTCCTGCGACAAACTTGCGAACTCCGCTGGTCAAGCACCACCTATCGCAACTGCACCTGCCACTACTTTACATGCGACAAAGTTGCGGCCGAGCACGACCTATCACAACTGCATCTGTCGCAACTCTACATGCGACAAACTTGCGAACTACGCTGGTCGAGCACCATTTATCGCTGAAAAATGATGAACTGCTTCTCACCAAAGCCTCTTGCGCCAAATCGTCGTAGAACTTTGCTTGGCGTGGAACTACCGCAAGACCACCCAAAAATTCTTCCTTCCTCCTTCTGAATGCTTCGCTTTTCACCAACCGCGCTTGCCCAGCAAACCGAAAGACGAAGCCTACAAAACTGATCGTGCGAAACGAAGCCCTGACCGCTTCCTTGCACCACCCATTGCGCCTGATCTTCTTCCAGCCTGCGAATGATTCTTCTGCCAGAAATTTCTTGGCCAAACCCGATTCCCAAATCCCGCTGATGTTGCTGACCCGCGAGCAAAATACCGAAGAAGAGGCATGAACTACACTTCGCTGCCTACTCTGTCCTCGATCCCTTCGTCACGTTGTAACTGCCTCCCTAAAACCACAGACTCTTCCTCCTATGCGAATCCTCTAGAACCCACGAAATTTCTCCCGCGAGTAACTCCTTTGCAGACAATCTTCCTTCTATCGCAACTCCCTCGCGATCCGTCCGAAGCCTGCCGCCTCCTTCCGGAGCGCCTCCACGGACTCTTCCTCCTCTGCCCTAGAATCTAAGCTCTGATACTAATTGTTGTGTAATTTAAGGTGAAGAAAAACAGGAATCGACACAAATCCAAAAGAATGACACAGAGATTTAACGAGGTTCGGCAAAGAAGCCTACATCATTGGGTGTAGAGCAGCGAATTTCACTATTTCAGAGGAGTTACATACTCATAGGGTTACACATCTATTTATAGATAAAACCCACATATAATTACAAACACGCCTTTGCTCCCCCCAACCCACTAATCCAAGAGACACACATCTTCACACCAAGAGACACACAACTTCATTCTAGGAGACACACCTCTCCAAATCCAAGAGACTCCAAATTCCTGGTATACGAGCCATACCTAACAAGTTTGGTATGACAAGTCTATTTGCACTTGATAACCTTTAGGTGAGGTGATGGTGGAACAAAGAGCTAGGTTCCTTGGCATTGTAGGGATGGGAGCTTAGTTCACATGGACTCGCGCTAATGCTAATGCTTGATGGTGGAGGAGTAGCATGTTGGCTCGGATTGTGTTTGGTGAGCAAGGTTGAGGATTTGGCGTGGTTTAAGAGTACCTATTTGAAGACATGTTTGCATTTGGATGAAGGGATGTGGTTGTTGAGAGTTTGGAAGGAGTTATGGGTGTGGGTGGTTTTGATTGGTGGATTATAGGTGAGGGAAGAATATAGTTGTATGATGGGGGTGTGTGTATTGTGAGGTTGTTTGTTGCAGGGGGGGTATGTTTGATGTAATTTGGTAGACTTGAGGTTCGCATGAGAAGTATTGGAGGGAGAATGACAAATGGTGGTGGTGGATGTGTTGAGGTGTTGGGAACTTGGTATAAGAGAAATATTTGTTCATTGAAGAGGACTGGAGAGACATGTGGATTCTGTTGGTTGTGGGAAGGAAACAATAGCTTTCTTGAGAGGTTGTATAGCCAAGGAATACACATTGCATGGATATTGGAGCAAGTTTATGTTGAACATATGGTTTAAGCCATGAATATCATAAACATTCAAATATTTCAAGGTGATTATAGAATGGTAAGAGATGGAGAAGAAGTTTGTATGGGTATTTGGAAGTTGTAGTGGTTGAGAGCAGACAATTAATGAAATAGGATATTGTAAGTTGTGTATCGGCCCAAAATTGGGTGGGTAAAGAGGTGGTGGTCATGAGCATGCGAACGGTTTCAATGAGGTGGTGGCAGTTCTTGCGCTAGATAATGTCATTTTGTTCAAGTGTGTAGGTGCATGTGTATTGTTGCTGTATATTATATTATTTAAGAGTATTTTGAAATTAATGATTAGTGTATCCGTCATTATTATAAATA